GACCTATACAATGAAAACTATAAACTACTAAAGAAATAAGTGGAAGAGGGCTACAAAAGAAGGAAAGATCTCCAATGTTAATGTATTTGCAGAATCCAAATAGTAAAAATGGCTATACTACCAATAGAAATCTATATATTCAATGCATTGCCCAATAAAAAGCCAATGACATTTACCACAGAGATTGAAAATCAACTCTAAAGGACCTTAATGTAAGATTGAGGAACTTAACATAGAAACTGAATCTTTGAAGCCAGTGCAGGAAAGAGCAGGGGATGCAGTGAAACTAATATGCCTGGTCTATGTCTTCCTGTGTAGAACAAAAATGGCTCTGCAATTAAGAGAAAGGGTTAACAAACAGATCTATATGAAGCAAAAATTTTCTGCACAATAGTAGAAATGGTCACCACATTGAACAGGCAGCCCACAGAATGAAAGAAAAATTTTGCCAGCTATATCTCTGACTAGGGTTTAATAAGCAGAATACACAGAGAACCAAAAAAATAAGCTCCCCAAAACCAATGACCAAATGAAGAAATAGACAGATGAATTGAACAGAGCTTTTTAAAAGAAGTAGTCAGTACAGTTAAAAACCCATGAAGAAATGCTCATTTTATCTGGCTATAAAGGTAATGCAAATCAAACCTACATTAAGATTCCACCTCACTCCTGTTAGAATTGCTGTTATGAAGAACACAAAACACAACTAATGTTGGAGAGGATGTGGGAAAAAGGAATCCTCATACACTGTTGGTAAGAATGCAAATTAATAAACACATTATAGAAAAGAATATGGAGATTCCTCAGAAAACTAAAAATAAAACTGCTTTATGATCCATCAATACAACTTCTAGGGATATACCTGGAGAAATTTAAGTCAGGATCAGACAAAGACACTGCCATACCCATGTTTATTGCAGCACCTGTCACAATAACCAAGCTATAGAAAAAACACACATGACCTACAACTGAAGTATGGAGTAAGAAAATGTGGTGCTAATATACCATCGGATTTTAATCAGACATAAAAACAAATAAATTTTTGTCATTTGCTGGATATTGGTTGGAACAAGAGTACATCATGTTACGTGAACTAGCCAGGGTCAGAAAGCCAAAGGCCATATGTTTCCTCTCATATATGGAATATAGACCTAATATAAATACAAACAATATTCTGCAAACATGTCATACAAGGGAAGGTCACATAGGGCAGAGTGTGGTGGAAAAATAAGTAAAGTAGGTGAATATAGTTGATGTACTTCCTATACTGGTGAGTAACATTGACCATTCAAATATAATTAGAGGAAGCCTATGGTATTTATGTAAAATAAGATACAGAACAGTTTCATAGATTGTTTTCTTCAACTTTCTTCCTTCCTTCCTCTCCAGAATTATAACTCACAGTGTTTATTGACTTTAATAGGAGAATGAAAATGATCACATTGAGAGTCAGAAGGCGTCACATGAAATGGATAGGCTGGATGAGCAAGAATTTAGTTATTGCCATTTTACATCACAGAGTGAGGCTTTGTCACTCAGCATCACATGGAAAATATTGCCTGCTAAAGCGTAGAATTACTACAATTATGCATCTTGAAACTGAGTGGATGTAACTAAATTGCATTCTACAGTAAGTGGACATTTTAGAATATGGACACAAATTGGTCAACAAAGGGTGGCTCAGGAAACCTGGTTTTGAAATGGGGTCAGGGGAAATAAGAAAATGACAACTGGAAAACTCCTCTCTCTCATCTATAGTTGGGCCAACAGTGTCCTCACTGATGTCACTGCTATTTCACTTCAATCACAAAAGCCTTATTCTTACTTCACTTGACATGATAATGTCTACTTCCTTCCTTTTTCATCCAATGATATAAATTCATTGATCTTTATGATTGAGTAAAAATGCCATTGTATACATATACCAACTTTTTGTCATCTGTTCTCCATTGATGGGCACCTAGGCTGATTGCATGATTTGACTATTGTGAATAGTGCTGTGCACATTCTTCTCATATGGACAAAGCTTGCTTTACAGGATAAATCATACATTAGTATGTAAAACAAGATGGAACATCTTTCAGGGGAGCAAAGTCTCCCATATTCACTCTTCAAGGCTGGTGCCCTTTCTATTTGAACTAGAAAAAGCACACATAAAGGATAATGAGCAAAGAAAAGAAAATGAATGTGACATTGCCTGGAGAAAATAATGGCAATTTCATAAAAATTATTCAGTTGCATCTTGAACAGTATTTACCATACTCCTTTAGAGTATGTAAATGTGGAAGTGCACCATGGGGCACTGTGGTCACTTTCAGAAAAATAAGGAAGCTCAAGTGTTTCAAATTTATTTGACCCTACAAAGTTTCTCTGTTATTTGTGAACAATGTGAGAGCAGGTGCTTCCTCTCACAGGCAAATCCTCATCCAACAGCCTCTGGCAGTCTCCTTCTGATGATGAAACAGCTCCCAGAGTTCGGGATCATATGGTGGAAGGGAATTGTGAAGTACTCACATTGGCATAATATTCCACACAAACACCCCAACTCCATGGTTTATACTCAGTAGGAAACAAAGACACATTAGAATATCCAGCTCAAACAAAATACAAGGAAACCTTCCAATGTTTGCATCATGGCTGGTCACCTTCTACTTCTCCTAACTTACAATTCAGAATAATAGAGATGTTAGATTTATCCTCTGTCTTCCTTCTTCATTCCTAGCATGTTTGAGTTTGGTATCAAAATCCAGTTTTCAGACCATGGTGACTGATGAGCACATGCTCACTATGTCCTCAGGAGAAACAGTCACTCTCACTGAGGCTGCACTCAGAGTACTGAGCAATGTTCACTATCCATTCTTGTTCCAGGAAAATCAAGGACTTGTGACCAGAGAGGGGCTGTAGATGTCCTTCTGGAACATCAGAGAGAAAAACTCATGATTGCAGCAGACCCACATTCTCAATAATGGTGCTGTTCCTTGAGTACCTTCCTCTTGTAGGGTATCATTGAATCTCTACTCCATGAAAGATGAATTGTGACAAAAGCAAAGGATCAGGTGACAAACTCATATCCTGAGACTTGAGGTTATAGGGGCAAAAGAGAATAAAACTGATGATCTCTTCCCTCCACACTGGAAAGGCCAGTCACCTCTAATGCACACAGTGTACTGCTATGCTGGATTAAGGACAGATTCTCTCTCAGAAGTGTCCTTAAACTTCATTCTCAGGATCTGATAAACAGATAGTGTTTCATTCCTTAAAATTCCATACTGACAGAGTACAGCTTTGAATTAAGGACTGAAGGATATAAATGAGGGAAAGCAGGGCTGAATTCCCTGGTTTGGACCCTCTGTTAATGAAGGCAGTGAGGAAGGCAAATTTCTCTGTGGAGGTGGCAGGTATCTTATATCCTAAACAATGGAATCTCTGTCATGGACCTCATAAGGTCTGGAAGGAAGATGATGAGAGGTCTGGTGGAGTTTTTGTCAACTACAGAAGCAGAAACCTGCTTCCAGGCAGATTCTCTCCTCCTATTTGTCTTTGGGGACCCTAGGGAATACCATGCAAGGTACGTCCCTTCATCTATGCCACACAGGAACAACACCCAAAAAGAAGATGAAGACTCATTTCGCAAGATGTGTCTGGAAAAATAGAATTATATGAAACTCACCTTACTTCCTTGTGGTGTGGAGAAATGAAATCAGAATGTACAACTGAAGGAATTTCCCACTAGACCCTCCTCCTGACTCATTCTCTGCTCCTCAACTTTCATAGGACATGCCTGGATTTGGGGAATATGATATCATGTGAAAATAAGAACTCTGCACTTTCTCCAGAGTCCTGCCTGTGTTGGTACCTGGGATTTTAAAGTTGATCTTACCCCTCATAGAATTCTGAGCATAGTCTAGGGAGACGCTGAAAATCTTAAAGTTACTGTTTTATTAAGCCTGGTCAATGTATTTTCAGTTCCTTATGTCTGTTAGCAAGTACCTTAGTTGAGATAAAATGTAAGACAAGTCTCACATCGTTTCAAAAATTGGTATTCTAATTTCCAAGGTGATAGTATTAGGGGGGTGGAGCCTTCAGAGCATGTTTAGGTCAGGTGTTACAGACCCTTTATGAATGACATAAATATTGTTAAGGAAGAAGCCTAAGAGAAATCCTTCAAACCCTATGCCTGTAGAAACAAAGGAAGGAGATTGTTATCTGTGGCTCTTGTCAGACACCAAATCTGCTATGATGGATTCCCCCGACTTCAATCTTTTAGAAATAAATTTCTTTTGTTGATAATCCACTGACTAGTAGGAATTTATTTATAACAGTTCTGAATGAGAAACCCCTCACCTGTTTTACCTTGCACATTATAATAGCACCTGAGAAATAGTCATTCTCTCAGAAGATTGTCCTAAACACCACAGCTATTAACATTCTAGGGCAGCTCTTCTGTGTGGTGACAATTTTTATAATCACTTGTTACTGATTTCTGGTGAAGTTTTCATTTAAAATAACAAGTACCTCAAAAACACATATATTTTGGGAGTTAGCATTATGTAGCTGATACTTTTGCTGAGCACATAAATGTCTCATTCCTGGAATCACAGTGAAAACATAAAGATATAAGAAAAATAGGATTGGTAGGGCTCAGATGGTGGGGCTCTATGGGATCTTAAATTGTGCTCATGCAGAGGAGTCCGCAAAAATCTCTGAGTGGATGTAAAGTTAGCAGAGGGAAGTGGACTCTAAATTATTAATGTGGACTCAGTAGCTGGGTCTTCAGATGAGTTACCAAGACCTGCCTCCTCCTGGTTTCCAACCATAGGCAAATGAATGCATCACAACATTTAGACTTCCTTGTCTAAGGACCTAAATAAGTGGTACTGGAGAGTTGTAGGAGGGGATATATTTGTATGTCCTTTCCTTCTTCTTGCCATTAAGGAGAAGATAAGAGATTCTCAGAACAGCTCACTGCAGCTATGAACCTCAGGAAAGAGATGTCAAACATGGCCTGGGTCTTAGTCCTCCTGGTCTTCTCTCATTTCTTGGGTAAGAGCAGGATACAAATTTCCAGGGCCATAGACCCTGTCTGAGCCAGGCCCCTGTGGCTAGGATCTCTTAGCTACTATATAATTGTCTTTGCTTACCCATTCATTACTGTTTCTATTTCCAGGTTCCCTCTCCCAGCCTGTGTTGACTCAGATGTCCTCTGTCTCTGCATTTCTTGGATCTTCTGCCAGACTCAACTGCACACTGAGCAGTGGTTTTGAAGTACCTGGATATCATATATCCTGGTACCAGCAGAAGACAGAGAGTATGCCTCAGTTTTTGCTAAGATACTACTCAGACTCAGATAAGTACCAGGGACCTGGGGTCCCCAGCCGCTTCTCTGGATCCAAAGATGCCTCTGCCAGTGCAGGGATTTTACTCATCTCTGGACTTCAGCCAGAGGATGAGGCTGACTATTACTGTGCAACATATCATGGCAACACTGGCAGTAACACAGTGATCCAGACCAAGGGAGAAGTGAGACTAAAACCTCTCTTTTGTTATGATATCAGCCTTATTCTGTCTGGGACTGTAGCAAATTAGGAAGTGATTTATCATCACTTTTTTGCTAATATGTGATATTCTAGTACCTATAGACATGAAAATATCTTCTGGTATTCATTAGTTATGATGTGTAGCTAATACATTCCTACACAAGACCCCTTCTATAGCATTCAGTTCCCCTCTAAGGAGATGATGGACAAGGACTATAACACTGACTGCACCCAGTTTCACTTCAGTGTCTAGGAATGGCTCACAGCTATTTGTAATGTGAGAGCTCCTGGTAAATCGTTGAGTCCACAGTGTGCCTAACACACACCATTTGACCATCCACAAGGAAGAAATCACATTTCACTGAACCTGATAACTCCAGCCTGACTCTGGTAACTGCTTTGCTTTTCTGTTTCTTGGAACAAGCAAATTTTGGTCTCTCCAGGGACACCAGTCTCCTCCTCCCTAAGATAAAACAGTAATTATATCATTTTAGTGAGCAAAGTGACAACAAGCACGGAACTGACTCCCACAGGCATAGGTTCCATCATAACCACCTCCATTATGCTCCCTATGGGGATCTCTGACTCTGCTGAGACTTCAGTGATGCTTGGGCCACACAGGGTTTAGGTACATTCTGAGATGAAAACGTATTCTATAATAAGAGTACTGAATGAAGATCAGAAATATACATGGAGTTATTTCCACATACTTGTGTTTTAATATGACAACTGGGTTGTCATCCTGTGCTGCTCAGGCCTCTCTCTCACACTTGTCTCTACACAGGGTGACTGACATAAAGGCTCTTGGAAATAACTCCTCAGGAGTATCTTCACTGTTCCTCTTTCAGTCTTCTTGGACAGTATGTGGTCTTTACACTGGCTTCAAATGATAGTAAGGTCAGGCAAGATAATGACTCTTAGGTATCAGGTTGTTTTAATCCAGAGCTAAATTAGCCAACCCTTTGTTCCTAACCCAATGACATAATGCATTGGGAGAACTCTGACAGATTTCCTGAGCAGGATAGCTTATAAACAATAGCATGTATTTCTCACAGATACCACCACTTAACACTATTTCCTTGTGTAGGATTCCAACATGTTGGATATCTTTGGGTTTGACAAAAATCTGCACAGCATAACATCTTTAATTTTAAATTCTCACCAGATTTCCAGGGACATGAACACTGATTCCAGTCTTGTACACAAATCTCTTCTTAGCAGATGGAAATCATTCATTATATGGTGGTCACCACTCAACTTTCTGAAGGATATTTGGGTGTGGTGGCCATACTTCTGATCTCAGCATGTGAGAAGTTGAAGTAGGGATATCTAGACTTCAAGGCCAGTCTGGGCTACATAAGGACTAACTACCCCAATGCTAATTAGCAAGATTATGTCTTGAAGATGAAGTTGAAGATGAAGAATAAGAGAAAGAATATGAGGGAAGAGGAAGAGATAGAGGAGGAGGAAGGTAAAGAGGAATGGGAAGAGGAAAGTGAAAGTCCCAAAATCCATAATATACCCAGGATTAGCTGACTTCTGCTTGTCATGAGAGGGGAAAGGACATGTGAAACTTGTGGTGATTGCTTTGTTTCTCTGATAAATTCTTATTCTGTTGCATCCCAGTAGTCACCATCAGGAGTCCAAAATTCTCAGGGTTGTTCTGTAAAGTTCAACACATCTGGAAAGAAGATTCCATATACCAGATGTCTGTGTGGAGACTTGAGTCATCATATGTGTCATTATATATTGACACCAACCAGTTCTATCCTTTCATAGAGGATACAGTGGATGACAGAGAAGACAACAGGGGTGGATCTGGACCTCTGGCAACAGAGATTGTTGGCTCCCCTTGACAACTGTTTGTTTTGGATTCCACCTAGTAGCTGCTGTAAGGCCCCTTGGCTGAAATCATCTGTTATCTGCTGGTTGGGGCTCAGCAATTGTGTATTCACCAGGCCCTGAGGAGGAACCCCAACCAACTGAGGTACACTTTCTCTCAATATCAGTTTTCTGGTCAGGTTTCATATTCAGGTTCCAGAGAATCAGCTATCTTACATGAACAAGTCTTCACATCCTGCTGCTTATTGGATTAAAGGGACATGAGGAGCTCAGTATGAACTGGTCCTCAGGACTCAGAGATGTACAGAATCTTCCTTCATGGCATAGACTCCTCTCTTATCTATTTACTTTTCCACACAGTGACTAGAAGGTAGACATCAGTTCCAGCCAGAGGCCAGGGACTCTCTCAGTTGGTGCATATTCTTCCCCAGCATAGACTCCAAACTTAGACATGTCAAAGAAAAAACATCCTCCTCCTTCCCCAGTCTTCTATGTCGGGGATGTCAGTATCACACTGTGTCCAGACACAGGCACAAAGATGGTAGTTGGTCACAGTTGACACAGGCCCAGTAGAATTCTAGGTGTATTGTCTGGATAACTTGGAGATTTGTGATTCTTGCCTTGCAAAGTGGAGTAGAAGACAATGAGTCTTGGGGAAACTTAGGTACCTAGGAGAGCCAGAAAGACTTTATGCAGGAACATAAGAGAACAAAGTGTGGCTCCACCATGCTGAGAAAATGTTGAGGCTGTGCCTGGGAAATTGGGACTGAGGGCCATGGTGACTACTTTTAGTGGACTTTCCTGAATTCACAGTAAGTAATTTGACTCTTGCACTACTTCTTGCTCTATTGAATCTTTTGTACATTATAGTGTACAGATATAGGGTGAGTTTTCTTTCTTCTATCCAAGGTTCATGGCCATGAGCCATATGCTCTATCTCTCAAGGTGTTTCTGTCTCTCCTATGCAACCAATTCTAGATTGTGCTTCCTGTCTGAATCTCTACACTCAGAGAGTATAGGGGTTAGCACTAAACCGTATGCTAAACCATATACATATGTACTTGTGTGTATATATATATATATGTGTGTGTGTGTGTGTGTGTGTGTGTGTGTGTATGAAAACATACACATATATCAAAGTTAATGAGTTATTGACAGCTATCATTGAAAATCTCTTATTGGAGGATCATGAACAAGGACCTGGGGTGTAGCAGCATCGAATATTCGATACCCTGTGTTCAGTCTCCAACACTGAAAAAACAAATGCATGAATATACATATCTTCATTCATTACATGGTTTATATAAACTAAGTATGTTTCCTTGAGCCTTGAAATCAGTGAATTAATGGGACAGAGTTAAAATACAATTCCCATTTCACGTACTAAATCAAAAATGTAAGTTGTTTCTTAACAATCTATATATATAACAAGGTCAACAAAAGATTTTCATGACTTTTAGTATTGTACAAGCAACCCTTGTCATACATTTGTGAAATTACTCCTTGCAGATATCTTTACATTTTTCTTGTTCTCTGCGTGTATACAACTTGATTATAACTGGGAATGTCCCAAAGGCTACGTCTGAGAATCAGTGCACAGTGGCATATTTATGTGCAGAAACAGATGGGGTAGTGGAACAAAGTTATTGGTACAAACTCAGTCTTTTCCTTCTGATCAAAAGATTTCCCTCTCCTCCCACAATGAGATGAACATAAACCTGTTTCTCTCAACCTGGTAGTCACTTTAGAGAAGAGCATATTTACCTACCCTTGAAGTATAAATACACCTCATGCCTACCTACCAATCAATTTCAAATAGAAAAATAAGATAGAGAGTAAAATGTTTTCAGACTTCTTGAGCACTTCAGCAGGTGGAAAATAGAAAACAGGTGACTCAAGCCTGACGGAATTTTAACTGATTGAAAAGCTGAAACCCTTCAAAGGAGGTGTGTCCTGTTTCTTTTGCAAACAAAATAAAATCCAATTAATGCAGAAAATTAAAGCAGTTATGTTCTCCTATATGACAGACTTATGTCAAATAATATAATATAATATATCAAATGGCTTCAAAATAAATTAAATAGCACATCGACCAAGTATCAGGAAATTCACAACCTGAATGTGTAAAGAAAATCTGCAGAAATCAGCACTAAGGTAACTCTGATGCTAAAGCTATTTTGCAGATAGTTTTAAAAGTAGTAATCTTGATTTCCCTTTGCGGAAAAATTTCATATGTTCTTTAAACAAATAGAAAATAGCCAAATATCAGAAAATAAACAAGTTAAAAAAACAACCAAATCACACATAATAAAAATAAAAACTGTAATAAATGATATTAAAGTTAAACTACAGGGGACTAAAGAACAGAAGTAATTGGAAATAAAATTCAGTCATTGGAGAAAATATTTAACACAACTAGAGAAAGAATTACACATAATTATCAAAGCACAGCACAGGACACTGTGGGTCTTCTCAGAGAGTGGCAAGGCCTGAAACAGACTCATTGTTCACAGGAAATAGCCCTGGCAGTGCTCATTGTCCTGAGATAGAGAATAAACAGATGTTTCCTCCCACAGGGAAAATTCAGAGCTCACATTTCCTCAGGTTCCCTCATCATAAAGCTGATGCTTGGGCTGTTCCAGAATTGGTTGTGGTGTTCCTATTGATAAAGGAATCATGTTTGGATAATACAGCACACAAGCATAGACCTTTAATTCATGAAGTTGAGAAGGAGAGAAAAAATCCAGAGGACTGTCCAATAGCCTCTATGGGCTTTGAAGGTCTTTGGAATGTCAAAACTACCTCATGAATATATCTGTTTCTCCCACTGTCTCTCCAACTTCTCTATCTAGGTCTATGTTCACTACCTTTGAACTGATTCCGTTTTCTTCCTTCCAAATTCCAAACTGTTGGTATTTTCATTTGAGGTTCCAGTCCTCAGGCTGTTCTGACTATGGAGTCTTCACTGACCCTATCTGTAGAAAGGTCAAGGTCACTGTGGCTGTTACTTTTTTGCAGTCATCAAAAAACTCCATAAGAGTTACAGCAGAAGCACCTGAACACTGAAAAATGATACAAGCAGCAAGCACTGCTTGTCACCAGTCATGCTTTCAGACTTCTGTCATAGGGACAGAGTTGGAC